TTTTTTTTTCAAAACTGCTCGTCGGGAGATCTTTTGCCTCATTAGTTCTTCATTCAATTTTTCCGAGTCTTTCTTATTTGAGAGTAACTGTGTGTAAAAAGTTTAGTTGTGCGTTGATAATGGTATTGGGGATATGGTCTCACGATTTGGGATCACTGCACGTCAACTCGCAGAAAATCTGGATTGGAAGAAGCACGATGTTGAACAAGATCCGGTAGGTTATGTTCAAACATGCAAGTTTCAGGATCTGGTTATAAATACCTCTGAGTATGTTTTCCTTGCTAGGTTGCTCCAAAAGTTGCTGCCTCTGACTATACAAGTTCTTCATTCCCTACTCCCGAAGCAGTGATAGCTGGCGCTATTTATATGATGGCGAGAGAGCTTAGTCGCGAACCTGCGGTAAACTACAACATTTTCCAAGTTTTAGCCTTTAATTTATATTTTAATAATTCCTTTAACTCCATTTAGGCTCGTGAAAGGATCCGTCAGGTATACCGTGAAAACGCAAAACTGTATGTGCGACCGACGCAGAAAGGGCGTGAACATCTTGACGAAACTAGTCCTGTTTGGAAGAATAGGTGAGTTTGCTATTTCTGTGATAATACCTAATTTTTGGATAGGATGACGGCTCATTTTTTAAAACTTAATTTTAGATACATAAAAGGAAAGCCTGTATCTCTTCTGGAAGAAGAAGAGTTTTTGTACTACCATCAAGCCAAGAAGGCCGAACATCTTGACGTGAAGTTTGTATTTGAGCAGTATACTGACAACGATGTTGTTAGAGTTCTATCAGATGCCCTTCTCAGTGAGCAGCCTTATCGAGTGGTAAGTTCATCACTCTGTTAAAACTGTTATCCTATCTATGCTTTACGACGAAAAGTGGCGTTTCTAGGACGAGTATTCTGAAGTTGTGGAAGAGTGGAACTCAATTCGTGAGAAAGCGACAAGAATGGCTATTGACGAGATGCTTCTTCCATTTTTAGAAGGCGAAATGGAGCAAAAGTTGCTGGATGAAGCCAAAAATAGTGTGTTATATGTGAGTTATATCGTATTAAACATTTGTTCAATTACAGTATATAATATTAACGTGATCATTTTATGATAGAAATGTGGCAGAGCTATGTATGCTCGCTTAGAACCAGCAGCTTTTCATCCTTCTGAAGAACAACTCGAGGATGAGGACGATGACATCACACGACAGGTCAGTGCGTTTTTCTTTTTTTTT